CCACCAAGTGGATTTGGTTGAGGCTCTGCCTGCTGGCTTTTTATCCACACTTCTGAGCTCCCTTGGACATTTTAACCAACAGCTGCTGATGAGATGTGGATTCCTGTATAATCAGAGCCTTGAGAGGGAGAAAAGATACTGGAGCACATCGCTGCTGGAGGACACAATAGTTTCACCGCTGCCCTTCCTGGAGTACCCTCTCCAGTGTTCACACACCCAAAGCAACAAAATGCATAAATTGCTGACCGGGACTAACAATGACTTTACTTCAGCAGTTTATTTCCAGGAGAATTGGTTATCCCTCAACTCCGGCGCTGCAGGAGTATATACGCTGATTCAGGCCGACTGCGATACACAGATCAGGAGCAAAACAAAAAGAGAGGGGATGTATGTTTTAATATCAAAAACAAGTGGTGCTCAGTCGGGCCTGTTGAATCGCAACTTCGCTCTCTCACGCTTCTCTCACGCTGGAAACGCTTTTTGCTCACTCAGGGAGTTTGCTTCAATCATTTTGCTGCTGTGTACACTCCCCCCCCCCTCAAGCGAAAGCAAATGGCATGCCGTGCCTACTATCAGGGCTGATAATAAACATGAAAACCAAACATCACGGCTCTGCAGTCTTCATTCAGGGCAACTGGAAGAATGAATTCCCCTCCCACTGAGGAGCAGGGGCGGACTGGGGGAAAAAAGTGGCCCGGGAGTTACTGTCAGACCGGCCCACTCAATACTCAGAGCGTTGCCCACTCAATGCATCGCACGTATCGACCAGTGAGACTTGGAAAAATACCCACACACTTAAGATTATTTTGGATGATTACAAAGAAATTACATCATATATGTTTTTTTTAATAACATTTGGATCCACCAATTTGCCTGGATGGACACAATGAATAAAATGATACTGGCTATTGTAACACTCCAAGGTAGGTATAGTTGAATATGCTTAACTCTGGGCTAGTATCAGATGGTTATAGGCAGTGGAGCTGGTGGAACATGTTCTAGGTAGGGCTGTGCCACATCCAATCAATTTCAGCAAACATCCCAGTATGATTTAATGCAAAATAATTAAGGTATCAAACACGCATTACTACTTTGCAGTTAAATATTTAACATTTATTCCAACATGAAAAAAAGCAGTAAATAACACTTTGATAAACACGTCAGGACATCTTATTTGTGTCACCCTCACAGGCAATTCAGTATAATATAATAATATATATATATCATATAATAATATAACAATATATATATCATATAATAATATATATATCATATAATAATATTCACTATAATATAAAACACACACATATATATAATGATGTATTTATAACTATATATCATTTCTCAGCAGGTGCTTCATGTCTCTCACTCTCTAACTGTCCGTGCTGGATCTGTCCCCGTTGTTTTAAAAAGCTAAATAAGTTATTAGCATGACGTCATCCAGCTAGCCAAACCTGTCTGGTGTTCAGCTAGTGGAGAAGCTTCGCATGTACTGCTTCCCTTTCCCGCTAGTCTGCTGTCTGATTGTGCAGTTTCTCCGCCAAAGTTCTCCTCTCAAACGGCTCTTGGAGGAGCAGTGCTCGCGCCTGTAGACACTAGTCCGGACGGAAACGCGCAGTTTGGGGCAGAATCGATTCTGCCCCAAACTGAATCTATTTGAGGACGCTGATTGGCTAAATTGTATGTCACTCATTTATATCTTTAATCAGCATTAAAGCATCATTGGCTAAACTGCTTCATAGACCCGCCTCTTTGGGGCAGATTGCATGCTGAGTGTGTGATTGTGTGTGTGTGTAGGGGTGCTCGCAGATGGAAACCATGAGTGTGAATACAGATCGCGAGGAGTAGTATAAATATCAGTCAGTGATTATGGGCTGTAAGTAAATTTAACGTGATCCGTGAAGCATAGAATACAGTCGGGGTCGGCGATCTCGGAGCGAGGGCCGGTTGGTGATGGAGGCGGGCCCGGTATTGGACCAGCTCAACCCCGTCGGCCTACCTATAAGTATGAACCTGCAAATGAGCATGATATGTCCCCTTTATGAAATCAAACTTTCCATACAGTGTCATCATCACAACAACATTTCAATTTGTCCAATACTTGGTCTACAACTTCGGTCCAGACTGAAATATCTCAACAACTACTGGACACATTGGGATGACATTTTGTGCAGACAATCATGGTCCCCAGAGAATGCACCGTTATCATCTTGGTTGATCGTCTGACTTTTCAATGCCAAGATCAGGTCAAAATATCACATTGTCCATTACTAAAATAATACTAATAATGACATCTGCATCAGTCTGCACTTTGTGATTAGTGCTAATTAGCAAATGTTGGCATGCTAAGACACAGAACTAAGGCGGTGAACATGTTAAACATCATACTTGCTAAAAACCAGCATGTTAGCATTGTCATTGAGGTTAGCATTTACCTCAACCACTGCATTTAAGTATAACCTCATAGAGCCACTAGCATGGCAAACGACAATATGTATCTGTATGAACACTGGATTAAAAAGGATCTCTTTTCAGCACAGGTATTTTATTGTTACTGGTGCATAATTAGCAGTTCACTATGTACTTTCTTTCCATTTTCCCCTATTCTTTTCTATCACCAGAAACATTTTCTGACTTGTAGTCGAGAGGAACCACTTTACTCCAAAATGGCAAACTGTCATCTTGGCAACTGCAGCCTCATCTAGTGGATGGTGCAACAGATCAACCCCCTTTACTCGTTCCATCTGCTACTGCACGCTTCACAGAGACAAAGTGGTTGTCTCTTGTCTCTACCAAGATTATTTCTGAAGAATGAAGTCAATTTAAGCTTTTCGGACACAGATTGTGATTGATTGGCAACAAAAAAAATTGGAAGGAGGAGCTGTTTATTGAAGTATTTTATTTGTTTTCTTTTGTTTTTTTGAGTAGATAACAGAATTGTCACTGACAGTTTTTCTTGGCCACAATTTTAGACAGCATAAATACTAATAATACGGGTCCTTACACCTCCCATCTCACTTTAGACAGACCGTCTCCTCTTCCAGGGATGAGGTCCAGCATATTTTCCGCACTGGTGAGTCACTCATTGGCTGTCTGCTTCCCTCCGACGAGGAACGGCATGACACCAGAGTCAGGGAAAGGGCAGGAAGGATTGCCAGTAAGCCTACACATCTATTACACCATCTGTTCCCAAGCTTTCCATTTTGAGACAGTCCTTGAAACCCCCAAATCACCCGTCCACACCAACAGCCTCTTTGCACAAGCTACCATTCAAGATAACCATGCGTTAACGAGACTCACCCCAACACACATCTCCTCGCTGTGCAGCTGAACTGGCCGTCTTAACGTCTGTCAATATTTAATGCATTTGAATTTGCATGGTTTCACAGGACTACCCCCCCCCCCCCCCCACGACCTGAGACTTTGCTCACTTTGGCACATTTTTGCCTTGGAAACATACAGTACGGTCCCCGCATGATTCATTTCGTGCATCTCATTCTTGTTCACTGTGACTTATTTTATGGTATGCTGGACCCAGGCACTAATGAATACTCATTATACTTCCTCCTAGAGCTACAGCCGTGCAGTTTGCAAGACTGCTCAAATGCAGATTTTTTAATGAGGCCTGGATGCAGAGTTTTATATATATATATATATATATATATATATATATATATATACTATACACAATAGCCTCATGTTTATTGAATGTCTCACCTTTCAGTCAGACATGCAATCTCACGCCAGGTCCTGTTCACCAAACATCATCTGTGTGCCTCTCTGCATGAAGGCTAGTGAGGCAGATTCTCCATGAATGAGTTGTTCGTGTAGATGTCTGATGGGTCAAAATTCTGGTGACGGCCATCGCATTGGTGGCATCACAGTCATTAGCGGTTGGGGATGACTTCAGAGAGACTGAATCAGCAGGGAACGCCTCAAAACCACCATGTTTACAAGTGACAGAGGCTTCTCGAGGCCATGGTAATTATGACTGGTAATCCATCCATCCATCTAGTATATATGATATGATGATATATTTTAGATGAACTATGTGATCATTTTTTTAGTAACCTCCCTACCCCGTTCCTTCCTTCCCTCGTTCCTTCCTTACCTGCCTCCTTCCTTCCTTTCATCGCTACGTCCTTACACCTTTCGTTCTCCCTCCTTCTCTTCACCTCCCCCCCCCACTCAGATAATTACTCTCCACTGCCAAGAGGTGGCAACAAAGTGACACTTTTCAACATGCTGAGACACCGCTCTCTTTCTCCCTCTCCCTCACACACACACGCACACACACACACCCACACACACACACACACACACACTGTAACCATGTCCTCTCTTATTTTTACTCTTTAACCTCTCTTTTCTCTCTTAACCCGTCTTCAACTTCTCATTTGCTCCTGTTAATAAACATCAATGGCATAGAGTATGTGAGGGGACACAAGAATACGGATAAACCCTTTTATTTTCTCCCGCTTCTCTCTCTCCCTCACACACGCACTCACACTCATAAATGTCAAAATAAAACTTCATAATGCAAATTCAACAACAGAAGAGGAACCGTCTCTCTCTCACTCGAAGTATATGTGTGTGTGTGTGTGTGTGTGTGTGTGCGCGTGTGCGCGCCCTCGTGGTGCTGAAGGAACAGCGCCCTTCACGTGGGGAATGAGAGGCGGCTGAATGAAGCAGCAGGCTGTCTGTCCCATTGATTTCTATTGGTGTCTTATCTCCCAACAACAAATCCTTTTTTATTGTTGTTTTTTTCTGGGACAGGAAACTATCTGGCATCTGGAAAATGTGTGCGGGTTTGAATATCAACACGTAGGAAGGAACGATATTTCTTTAATATTTTCTATTTTTTTTTGCACACAGCAGGCTCCCCTCTCTCTCTCTCTCTCTCTCTCTCTCTCTCTCTCTCTCTCTCTCTCTCTCTCTCTCTCTCCCTCTCTCTCTCTCTCTCTCTCTCCCTCTCTCTCTCTCTGTCTCTCGCTGCTCTGTGCTCTCTTGTGGACTCTCTCAAGGCACTTTGGATAAAAGCCTCCGCAAGATGTGGCAGATTGCATGTCTCTTATCTGTCCTTCCCAAGGCAGGTGGTGAAGTATCTGAGGGAAACGAGTAAAGAGAGGAAAGGTTTTATTTCTAGAAGGGGGATAGAAAGAGGCGCATCTTTCCCTTCCAGTTATTTCGGCCACCGAGCCAAAAGTGTGGTTTCTCTTTTCTGGTTTAATCACCGGAGCGGACGCTCTCCTCCACATCTCTTCTTCTCCTTCTTCTTCTCTCCCCAATCGTTCTGTCTACTCTGTCGCCGAACGAGAGAAGATCCAGCTCATCTCTCATACCCCTCCTCTTCCTCTCTCCCTCCTGTCTCACCACTCGGTGTTTGGAGGAGAACCCAAAAGAAGCAGCTCAAGGCTTCGCGCTTTTTCCTTCTGCGTCCAGCGTTGCGAGAAGGATTTCCAAAAGTCATTTCAAGTGGACTTTTTTCGTGATTTTGGCACAAAGGCAGCGTGGCTCTGGACCGCATCGAGGGGAAGAGAAGGAAGGACGAAGCACTCTGACCTGGAGGGGACGTATTTCTGGGGAACGAGAAAAGTAAAGAATTGACGAAGAGAGAAGAGGAAGGTACCGGGGAGAGAGATGGAGAACACGCGTGGTCTCTTATTTCCGTCTTTTCGGATGGATTAGGACACCGAGCAGAAACGAGGAGAGACCTTGACTTGGAACCTGTCGTTTTATATCATCGACTTGTGTCTGGATATGGACTGGTCTCTGTAATCGATCAGCTGATTATTGGCTGATTAACTGTCGGACGTTATCACCCGGTAAACTTGGACTTGTGGGGGATTTTAAGAGGAGAAGGGAACCCCGCACTGCAGCTACTCCCTCCTGGCATAACAGCACCTCCGGGGTGATTCATTGATTGATCAATATATTGACGACACCAAACTGAAACAATCTATTGATTATCTCATCACTAAGGTCGACCTTTCTGCCCATTTCTCCCATTTTAACGTTTGAAGTATATCCTTCAATACAACTTATATATAGTAAAACTATATGTACCAGCAAATATTTATGTCCCTGTAGGAATATTACATAAATGTTAAAGCGATCATTAAAAATTAAATATGAAGTACATTAAAGCCCCTGAAGAGATATAGCATGGTGCTACAAGGGCAGAAAGTACCATAAATAACTATAAGAAGGAGCATAAACTCGCACAATTGCCACAACAGCTTCCCTCTGAAATCGTTCTAATAATTTAATAAGGATTATTATAGTGCAAGTGCTTCGCGGGACTCCGGTTCGGAGATTGGAAGTTATTTTTGGCTGCGCAAAGTGGAGCGACTCTTCCACACCAGTGCCCGGACAGAGACAGACTGAACGCAGAGGTCTACCTACTTGTCTCTGTCTAACATCCCCGGCCCCGGAAGAAAGGAGAGGGGTGGGGGGGCACAGAGGGGAGAGAAGGAGAGGATGCGTAACTGTGGTTAATTGGAGGGGACTTAGCCTTCAAACATCTTGGAGCAGAAGAGAGAGTGAGGGATTCTACTCTTTTTTTTTTTTTTTGCAGTTAGGAAGACGTTTCCTGTTTTAGGTTTCTATATTTCGAAGAAGAAAAGCGACCTCTATACTTTCATTTATCTCTCCATCGTCCCGTCAGTTCGGAGAGGGAGAGGAACTGGCTGAAGGAGACCCACGAGGAGAGAGCCAGAGGTGGGATTTATTTCAGCAGATGTTCACCATTTCGTCCGGTTGAGAATCTGTCATCAGCGCCGCTCGGATTCAGGAATAGACACTCCGAAGCACCGGGTAAGAGAAAAAAAAACACGCTCCGATTTTACGCGTGTGCACGCATTTATGATATGAGTTTACTTCACGGGCTGTTTTGTGGACGCGTACTAGTGTGAGAAAGGATGGAAGGAAGGAGAGAGAGATAGTTATTCGCTCGACTGTGTTACGCCATGTGTGCGTCCATGGATAAGCGAGAATAAAAACAGCGATGGATTCTCAACACTGCTTCAAAAACAAAGTCTTTTGACTATTTCGGTCCCACGAACTCCCCCCACAAGGCCAATAGGCTGCTCATTATTCATTCATCAAAATGCAATGCGTGTGTGCAAAGTATGAGTGCGCTAAAAGCTGGGCATCATGGGTGACAGACATTCTCTCAGTGGAGAGCAGGAGCAATGAGCCAGAGATGCAACACTGAACACATCAGCAAAACATATATTTTAGTTTAGATATGTTCTCATCTGCCTTTTTCCTTCCTTTTCCCTTTTTAACTCTACACGTGGCCTAATATGACCAATATGCCCCCCTCGCTGCATGGAGTAGGACACCCAGACTGAAAGACTGAAACAACCGTTTTGTGGTCGTTTCACCTCTTTGTAGTTGTTTCATTGACTTTGTTAACAGTTCCAGGGCCCCGCTGCCCGTTAGGCCTGTACAGTAACACATTTTCATGGAAATATGCTCCGAGAATCCCTTTTAGCCAGTCGGGGTGAAGCACCTTTGGATGAAAGGGGTGCCATTTTGGTTCCACTGTATAATTTTCCCATTTGTTCAAGTCTTCCCAAACACAGACGCTGTTTGTCTGAGTGCTTTACAGCCCAGCAGGTGCTTTCTCTCCCTCCCTCCCTCTCTCTTCTCTCTGTGGGAGTGTAAAGAAAGAGAGATTGTGTGTTGGAAGGACGAACATAGAAAGTGTGTTTGTAGTGTAAGGATGTGTGTGTGTGTGTGTGTGTGTGTGTGTGTGTGAGAGAGAGAGGGGAAGACAGAGGCGCTGTATGTCGTCTAATCGTGTATGCGTGTGCAACAATGCCACAGCAGGGCTGTCACACACACACACACACACACACACACACACACACACACACACACACACTCAGTAGAGGGATGCGTGGAGTTTAATTATCTTGGCCGTTTAGCAACAAGGTGAGCATCAATCGTCAGAGTGGAAGGAGACCGAGCGCCCATCGGAGGCTGCAGGTGTGTGTGTGTGTGTGTGTGTGTGTGTGTTGATTTATAGTGTGAAGCTGCTGTCCTATAGATCTGACCGGTGGGCAGATGGACTGGAAGCAGAACGACTCCGTCACACTGACCAACTCCGGCTATCTATTACCAGGATGGAGGGGGGAGGGGGGGTTACAGCAGGCATGCAGGGTTGGATGAGTGGAAATAGAGAAAGAGAGGAGGCGGGTGGTGGAAGAAGTATTTAGATCCTTTACTGATGGTGAAAGCACCGATACATTAAAGGGGACATACACAAAACTCACCTGTCCAGTGCTTGTGCACATACATTTGGACATTTGGAGTTCCTACCAACTCACAAATTGTGAGACAAGACAAACCAGTGAATACGGGTACATTCAGTCAGACAGCATGAGAAAATATGTTTATTTATTTAAATTTTTTTTTTACATTTAACCATGTAAACATGTTTTCGTAGAAACCCAAAATACAAGTATGAACCTGAAAATGAGCATGATATGTCCCATTTAATGTAAACATACTCCATTACAGAATGACACTAAAGTAAAAGGTATATATGCACATTAGGTAGCTGAGTGTGGTCTGTTGGCACACCCAGCAGGGATGTCACCAGGTCCTGGAGTACACCTGTACATCACAGCATGCCACGGTCTTCATCGGGTGTTCACAAGGTTTTTGATTGACTGTAAAATACAAATAAAGAACAAATAGATCGGAGCAAGTTCAAAAAGAAGTGATGAGAAACAGGAGGTGACATTTAGAGCAGGCAGGTAGAAAGAGTAGATGGATGAACTTGAGAAGAAAAAGAAGAGAGATCAGAGGGAAGAGGAGAGATGAGGAGCGTATAGTGCAGAGGGAGTCACTGCTGTTTTCTCTATTATAATTGCTTCGTGGTTAAATTAATTTATTTTCTCACCCGGTGCTCCTGCGATGTACTGAATCCCTGCTAAGTTACTGAAATGATTATCTACATATCTGTAGTAACACCACAATAGAAGTCTGCTCAGTGGAACTGTTGTTAAGCTGAATTTAATGCATTTGTTTAAACCATCACTGGTCTTTAAATGTGAGCTGAGGTGAACTGATTGGAGTAAAGAGGAGGGATGATGCAGGAAGCGAGGGAGGAGACAAAAAAGGAGGATGAGAAGAAAAGGAAAGGGTTGAAGGAGGAGAGGAGATCTAGTGAATAAAGAAGGGAGTGTAGATTTAGAGACATGAGGACAGGAGAGGAGAGAGGGAGATCCATAAATTGTGGAAGGGATGACAGGGAGCGGAGAGGCGCTGGAAATATACGAGAGGGAGAAGCCTGGCTGAGCGGACGGCGGGGTGAACGAGGGAGAAAGAGGGAGAGAGAGACAGAGGGAGGGTGCTATTGAAGAGCCATAAGCCGCATGACTGTAGATTTGAGATATTGTAGATTCAGCCTGTTTGCACCAATTATTCTCGCTGTGGTCTAGTTTATGGGCTCTTTCTGGGAATCTATGAGAAACTGTCAAATGTAAACTTCAGAACCAAATGCAAACCGTTTTCTCAACAGCAACCAGGACCCATTATACCTTCAAGGCAAAGTGTTGCTTACTGTTTGTGTTGTTCAAACCCTCAGGACTTGACTTTGCTGCTGTGGAGGTTTGGCTCATAATATATGGTCTTTATTAGCCGATTGACTCTGTCGAGGAGAATTGTAAATATTCAAATTTGTTTATGGCTCAAACAACATGGAAAGTTGACAATCCACGATGTCATGTCAGCTGGGTCATTTCTATGTGCTGAAGAAGATGATGTGACGAGAGAGAAAGCTCCAGAATCACTTTGTCAAGCAAACATAATAATAAAGAGCATCTTTGTTACTGGTGAGGGCCTTCAATGAGGTCTCACCCCGACTCATCATATTTTACCACTTGGAGCCGGTCTTTATCTTGACATAGAACGTGTCCTCATGGTTAACGTTGTGAAACAATTCATGGTTAATGTAGCAACACGTGACATTGTAACGTTAACGTTGTGCAATGGTCGTCAGTAAAAATCACTCAACTTTGAACCCTGAATAAAGTTTGTTTGTCCCGTCCACCACCCCTTCGTACTGCGTCAGTTGCTTTGAGCATCTAAGAATGACACGCTTGGGCTAACATTGGCGCTAAAAAAAAAGCCTTGCGTGTCGGTATCAGCACGCCAAGGAGCCACTGCCCAAATGATATTTGATGCTCTGGGAGTGACACCAGGTTGGCTTCACATATGACTGACAAGCACACTACTAGATGGACCTTGCAGCTTGGCGGTGTTCTCAGCTGCCATTTCTGAGGCAGACGTTGAACCTCAGCATTCCACATTCAGCATTTGTTTTTTTGTGTTTTCTTCGGAATTGACAGCAAACATTTACTCATGTTTCATGGCCATAATGATAAATGTACTAATTGTACAACCTAAAATATGTGGTTGCCAATGGAAAAACAGCTGTTTCTGTTTCTTTAAAGCGAGTTTCTCTGTAGTTCTGTGGCTCTCTGTGGCTCTGATTATACGAATTCTGTTTTAAATAGAAACCTCTGATCAGTCCTACGCTGCCTGGCATGTGTGATACTATTATGACTTGTGTATTGCAAAATTTCAAAGAGCAATTTTGATCAAAGTGATGCCACACAATGTAGTAATCCTTACACTTCTGTGAAACTCTGGGATAATTTAATGTCATGCATGCTGAAATGATCAAAGAGTCTTTATTTTTGTCTCATATGAAAGAACTTGCTCAATGGCAGTTTGGCAAGAGGCAAAAATACATACAGCCTGCTGGTTAATTGCATATTGAATATGTGAAAACACAGAAAGGACACGTTATTGAGACTAGTATTGGCAAGCCTGATTAATCTTTTACCACATGGGTTTGTAATTAGGTGTTTTACAACATGTTCCGTTTAAAGTAGAGCTGCACAAAGCAATACTGCCTTTCTTTTTATCGCCATTATTTTCATGCCTCAACGTTGGCCATCGTCGTGGCGGAGGCATTATTATTTCATCTTGTCCGTTCGTCTGTCCAATTCTTGTGAACGCAACATCTCTTGACAACATAGTTCCATGCAGTATGTGATAATCACGAAATCCAATCTATTAGTTTCATGTACAGGGACTCAAATTGTCTGTTCGTCGCTCAGGATCACTTGTTTTTCCGGATGACATCATGCTGTCAAACAACAGTTAAGTTCAGGCGACAACATCATATAGTTATGTTAAGGAAAACCGTCACAAAGTTAGGTTTAGGCAACAAAACCAATTGATTTTTCCATTGGCATTGTTTTTCCGTCCATGTACAAAAATCAATAATTACATTTTGTGACTATTTCACGACGTGCCATGATACTGGGCTGCTCTGGAACTCCTGGAGTGAGTTTCTTCAAATTTGGCACAATTGTCCACCTACACTCCAGGATTCACTGGTTAGATTTTGGTGGTCAAAGGTCACTGTGGCCTCACAAACTACGTTATTTTGGCCATAACTCAAGAATTTTGATGCTAATGACAATTTCACATAATGAAGTGAAATTGTGGACAGACATAGATGTGAAATGCAACTTGACTGGTTGGCGGAGGCATAGGACCACAATGCAGTAATCCTAGTTGAGAATGCAGCTAAAATTGTGTGAGCATTCAGTTGGTCACTGATCAACTGAACCGAAAACTCTTAAGCACAGAAGTTTTATTTAGTCTGTTTTGACTCTGTAGATGCTGGTAGTCGGATTTTGTTATCTTTGTAAATAGCCTGATGAGCTCTTTCCCCCTGTTTCCGGTCTTTATGCTATGCTAAGCTAACAATTTCCTGGCTCCAGTTA